ATGCGGACATCCTGAAAACGATTTGTGGATTTCATCATTACGCAAAAATGTGTTATTATTCACAAAATGTGCGTCTTTACATCTTAGAATAAGCCCCGAAACAAACACTCATCTAATTGCGTTTAATTTGAACACGTGAAATGTTTTAGTTTTCCGAACGCCACGTTCACGATGCACCAGTCACACTACCGCACAGTGTGAGCCGGTGATGATAGTTTCAAACGTGCGCTGCCTTTGATGCGTTTATTATCTGTCTGTTATATCTGATAACCCCTACAGACGCCAGTGTCATTGCTACATTCAGCACATTGTGACACAATGACCCTTAACTTTTGAACTATGACCCTGGAAGCTGAGTCCATCGTTACACCACCGTTAAAATGCCACGATGGGCATCGCACAACCGATTCGCACGCGCGCGGTTCTGAGCCATAGATCACTCTTGCTGTGTTCACAAATTACTGGAGGGATTTAACAAGGTTTGTGTTTGACATAAAGACATTGCTGTTAATTTACCTCCTAATTATTGTGGTGATCTTGTTGGTGATCTGCCAGAGATTTACGAGGGTTGTGGTTAGAGTCTAGGTTAGAGCTCCGTAGTAACCAAGGGTTAAGAAAATACGCACTTTGTAATTGAAAGGTCGTAAGGTCATTAGGATATACGGTCGATCACCAGCGAAAATATTTCCACCGTTGTTTTCTTACACGCATGATGCATGTATGTTGCGTTTAACCTGTAGAGTTTCTGTTTCCATAACCCGTAACTAATGCTCTCCCGGGGTGCAATCGGTAACGATAATTATCGGCAGGTTATGTTTTAGGGGTTTCAAAAAAATCATCACTCGCCAGAAATAACAACGAAATAGTGAGCGCTCAGTGCAGTCGCAGGCTGTGTGGCGTGCTGTGTGCGGGGGCGTTACGCCTTTACACGTCGCTGTACCGACGTCTTTGAGGGAGGTGTTGTCACCGAGGGCCCGGGTACAGAACGGTTTACGCAATTCTATAAGTTGCATACGAGTCAATTCCGTTGAGAGAGTTATGACAAAGAAACCTCATGGTGCTGGGAGAGAATCCGTGTGCGGTTGCGAGCGGTCTCACGTCGACGGTGAAATTTAAAGTAAAAAAAGGTAAACCGTCAATGATTAAAATAGAAAAACTATTGACGTTAATATTGATGACAATAGTAATGACCCGAGTGATGTACATCATTACCCTGAAAAAACCTTGATTAAAATTAAAGCATACGTTAATATTTCTTTACAACTGGAACATACTTTTTCAACGGAAGACGCAACTCGGTAACCCAATTCACAGTCGTACAATACAAGAAAAAGAGAAACTCAATAACAAAGCTTATGGGAAACTGATATCACGATAATCATCATATCATGAAAAATTATATCGTATCATGAAATTAGTTATCATGAAAACCCTATTGATCACACTGCCCTTAATGCGTTTGTACGTATGTTGAACTTATTTCGCACCGTACGTAGCCACCCGTGCTAATCGGATGTGCGGGTGAAGGACAACAAACTAAACACGACAAGAAGCAGTTCTACAGCCACGCATCCCTCATGTGCTTTTTCTGTGGCCGAGAGTGGTGGGTGGGGGTGGCGGCTTTCCTCTGGCCACATTGAGGGCCGTTGCCAGACACCCTGGCGGCCAAACCTTAGCCATTCCGCACCGTGCCGTACCTGTCAGTCGGGCTGGCAACCCACGTGACCTCAGGGAGCGTTGAGATTTTCAGGCGTGGGTGACGACATCAACGTCCCTCCTCTCATTTGACTTTTCGTTGAAATTTCAATTTTCTTTCTCGACTCATCAATTTTCTAAGTAGTCCTCGATGCAGTTAACTCTCCATTATCGGTGGGCGGATTTTCCGGAGTGAAATAAGCACGAGTGAACGCGCACGCCGGGTCAAATCATCGGCTGCTCCTCACTCGTTGGGGGTCAGTGACTCGTTTCCCCACGTGACCGCAAAGTTAGCGTAGAGTAAGTTGGTTTTCTTAAAAAAAAACAATAAAAAACCAGACGACACATTCTGTGTCTTCACGGTCATTCTAAGGATGTAAATTCTAAATGGATTTGTTTATAATCGAATTAGCGTTATCCTTGTTTTATCCGGGTCACCCCTCCACACATTACTCTGGATAATCAAGAGTTAACTGAACCGGCGTGATTTAAAATAAGTGAAAAAAAATAACAACAGATGTATTCAAACCTTTGGTTGTCTTCAACACTGTGAAACTCCTGTTATCCACGTGTCTCTTTTCTGCAACTGATATGATCCATAGCCCTAATAAATGTGTGCAAAATGTTAGTGAACTTATTTTTTCACAGATAAGAGGACTCCCATGGAATATTTTGTGTGATTATCTCCAGCTGACCACACGGATAAGAGGAGTTATTTTCCTGGATTTGTGTACAGCCCTAGGTCTGTCCAATGCCGGAAAAGACTTCTCCAAACCATATTGATCATGGGGATATTGATTGCCCGTACACTGCGGATAATCAAATCTGCGGATAGCATCCCCCCCACATGAACGTGGATAAAAGGAACCTCACTTTAAAGTATTCTCAAATAATTATTGTTAAGATCATACCTTTCGGTTTAAAGTTTTCGTGACTGCAGGGATTCATCTTCTTGATTCTTTCGGTAAAGTCACGTTGAAGGGAAATAATAAAATAATGAAAAGAAAACATAATAAAATAATGAAAAGAAAACATAATACCATTAACATTGGGACGCTGTCTTTTCGACAGCTCTGTTTCTTCACCTGAGGACGGCTGCTTGTGTTGTGGCCTAAACGTCGTGAGAATGTATTATTGTATTATTTCCCTTCTACGTGACTTTACCGAAAGAACCAAGAAGAAGATCGTACCTTGATTGCTCAGCTCCGGTGTTGCTGTGCACACTGCAGTTATGTGATTTTCAGGGTGTGTTGTTGCGTGTGTGTGTGTAGCCTTGTGCAGGGTTTCAGCTGAGTTGTCTGGCACACGCCGCACTAACCTCAATAAACGTGGCCCCAGCACCTCGCTTTGCATCCAGCTGCTTCTGGGTCTTGCTTTAATGGTGTCCTGTGAGTAACGTGCACACTTCCGCATGCCAACTAACAACAACATTGGCCCGACATTGGGATGGACTACATCTTCGCACCGGTAAAAACGTGGGATGGACGACATCTTTGCGTGTCGTCTGACTTCATTTAAACGGACATAAACAGACGTGAACTCCAGCGTTACCAATTCATGAAGGTGTAATGTGACCAAAGGAACCTGAAGATCTGCTCAATAGACCCTTTTCAAGTCATCAATTCCCTCACAAAAGGTGTTGCCACATGTTACGCGGGGATGACGAATACACCATCCTCGATAACAACTTACCGGCTTGTTGTCCTCGTCCCAGAATGCCGCTGCTCTTAACACGACCGTTACTAACCCCACCAGCATGCAGGGTGACGGACACGTGCTGCTGCTGCTGCTTGCAATGAGCTCGGCACAGCGTCGGAGGAAATGTCCACTTCCGAAGAAAGGCACCGCTGTTCGATCTGCTCTGTGATCCGCGAGTGGTTTGCGTGTGGCCCAGCGTCGGGGCTTTTGTGCGGGACGATCTCCACAGGCCGAGGCGCTAACCCCTAAAAACACAGCGTGGAGTGTCGTAAAAACACAGCGTGGAGTGTCGTAGCATTCCCAGAGACTTGCGGCGAGCGCCGAAGGGCTGCCGAGGCACATTTCGCCCTTTGGGAACTTGAGACATGCCTGCATGCATCAGCACGATATTTAATAACAAAGTAATTATTATGATGATGATGTGGCTAGGGAATGTAAATACAGCCACGGATTGTTGAATCTGAGTGTGTAGAGCTGTTGAGTGCTTCCCTCCCGTGTGCCAAAATGCTCAGTAATGGAATTGGCCGAGCGTCACGATGCGTGACGCGATAAAAAAAAAAGTTGAGACTCGGCGAGGCTTTCCTGGATAAATAGATAAAACTCATCATCAGAGGTGGCCGGCTGGCTCGGAGCTCGGCACTGAGCCGGCCCGCTGAGACCCTGGGTTTGAATCTGGGTTCTCGAGTGTGGCGAGTTTTTGAGGCTTTCCCGGATAAATAATGTGCAACGGTGTTGATCGAGTGACGAAATACTTTGCATCACTCCCTTTTTTAAAGAAACGGTCAGAGGGGCTCAACATTTCACACAATGTGCACAAGACGATCCGAGGAGCAACCGGTGGGGATGACGCGTTTTATTTATTGGCGCACTCCGACCCGCGGCGCTAACGCTGTCCCATGTCGATTTCCCAGATCGAAGGAGAATGCCCGCGAAGCGTAAAGGTCTGTATGTGCACGGCCTGCACACACGCGTCGTTAACGCGCCGCGCGCGTCTTAACAGCCACACCGCACCGCGGTTGCCCGGATTCCCAAACGAGGGGGGGCATTGATTTCCTCGGCTAAAGACTGCGGTGAGCAGTTTTGCATGTCGGCAATTACGCGGCCGCTGATCTCCGCCCGAGCCGAAATCAATCCCCAGGGAATCCATTGATCGTCGCCACGGCTTCGAGAAGTCTAACGCCCGTCGTTGTTGCTGTGTCCGCTCGCGGCTCCTGCATGCGCCCCGACTGACCGCGTGCGGGCGGCCGAACGAACGCCGCGGTACGTTTACGGCGCGACGCCGACGACCGACCGCGCGCACCTTTCGATTCGCCGCCTTCTCGTGCGGTAAGTGGAGAGGGAGGCCGGGGGCCGCTGCACGTTGCGCCTCGACACTGTCGGCGCCTTGACGGTGCGCTGCCCGGCATCGCTGGACCGTGCGTCGTGTAAACACGCCGAGGGTTGTCCGGGCGCGAGCGCGCAGCTGGGTATTTATAGCCGGCGAGTGCATGCGTTTGTGATGCGGCGCACGCTACCACACCTTGCGCATGACTCCTCGCCGTTCCGTGCACCTGCAACCCCCCCTGTAACTCTTCCGCCCACTGCCCCCCTCCTCAGTACTTGCATTAATGACCGAGGAAAGGCCAAAGGGCCATTCTCAGCAGGCAGCCCGCAAGCCGGCTAACGTGGCTGAAAGGCCCCAAGGTGAATGGGCTCGATATTGACGTGGCATATTATACAGTCTATCGATTTCTATTCTTGTGTTGTTTGTTGTCTTGTGTTTGTGTGTGTGCTCTTATGGTTATCACATTTCCCGTATTAATTCGTCACCCCGAGGGTGGTGGGTGTCAACTTGGGTGGTGGAATGGTTGGCGAGGGGAGGGGTTGTGGGTGGATCTGTAGAAGAATGTGGCGTGGGATTTGCGGTGTAAAGTGTGCAGCGTATTTAGAGCGAGGTTCACTGAGCTTTTTGGAGCGGCACGATCTACTGGCGATAGTGCATTCGGGAGCAGCCTTTCTTTATACGCAGCTGTCTTGAAAAGGCAGAGTTCATTTTATGGTTGGGCAATTCCATGATTTTCAGACGTTCATCTGATACACTTTACAGATGTGGGTAATCATTAGCATGGCCGTGAAGTTGATTCCTGTTTGGCCGTATAGTGCGTCAACCAATTCAAGGACTGCGGTTCAGATATAAATGAATGTGTCCATGTCTCTTGACAGCCGAGACTTGCTCGTAACATACCACGGCGTCCGATGTACTCGGATAAATGTAGTGCTCTGTCCATTTTGAGATGGCAGCGGTGCACACACGCCGTGTGCGTGTGTTGCAGATCGTTGACTTGCACCACTAAACTATAGTGGCCTTCGAGACGACGGCCCCCACGTATTTTATTCGGATAATTTCGAAATATTGAGGTTGACGTCATTTGTGCAGCTGCCCAAATATTAGTGTCTGTATATACGCCAACATTTTTTAAAAATCTAAAGCTTAAAACTAAATAAGCCACAATATTGATTTTATTTAGCGCACTTGTTCAGAGGAAGATATTTATTCTCAGTCAGTTTTTGTTCGAGCATACGGCCGGGACACACATTCTAAGCAGTGAACTCCTAAATAACAGTCTGGATACTCAGGGACGCTATCCAGGATAACAAATCCACGACCGTACGTATTAATGCCACTCGTGTGCTTTATATCGGCAGCGTCGATTGGCCGTAGGGCTACAACTGTCAAACAGGGATGCCTCACGCAGTTGTGAATGAGGGCCTTTCCCTCACAGGCCTCTTCTGTGGAAACCTGCTCTTGGCCTGTCTCCATGGTTTAGTGGGCCATGAAGCAAAGCCCGTGCTCACCTGTGAAAGATACATCTTGCTTACTCAGCACGTGCAGATTTAGAAACAGGGTTTTTTATTCTGCAGCCAGCAAACCAAATGATTTGCGAGTTGGCGTTGTTTGCGTCGATAATAGATGCGTCCTTCCAGTTGGTTGTAGGATTGTCCACCTGTGTCTTAAAGAAAAAAACAGGACATGCTAAGAATACCTCGCGATTCCGAAAGAGGGGGAGAACTCTACGTCTTGGTTCTTTCGGTAAAGTCACGTAGAAGGGAAATAATAAAATAATTAAAATAAAACATTATAAAATAATTCTCACGACGTTTCGCCCACAACGCAAGCAGCCGTCCTCAGGTGAAGAACAGGTCTGTCGGAAAGGCAGCGTCTCAATGAGAACTGTACGGATCTTGCGTTTGAGTGGCGTATTATGCAACAGACAACCAAGCAGGCCTCTTAACAAGCGCACGTAGACTTGTAGATTTCCCAGAACAGCCACATCAAAGAGATGGACGATGCTGGGAAAAAGCAGGATGGGGTGGCAAGCCAAGTTGGGTGAATCCTGAGCAACGGCTGCGCTGATGAGCGCTTCAAGCACGTGTCCTTGGGATTGCGGCACCATCGATGCAGTAACCTCAGCCACGCGGCTTGTTGCTGGGTTACCGTCGTTGATCAATTGCGCTTCAGAACAAGCGGATTTAACAACCACAACGGGGAATACGATTAGAGCTGGTCTATCCACTTAATGACGTAATCGATTACATTACCAATTTATCGGTTCTGTTATGAATTTGATGACGCGGCAAAAAAAGGCTCACCTCTCGTTCCCACGTGTGCCGCTGGTCGGGAGGTGGACGGCCGGATTTTGGTGACGTCATAGGCATCATCGGCCGCATCTCGTTGGGCGTGGCTTGTAGGGGGTTTCCCGCCTTCACAAGATTACACATTTTCCTTGATTAATTCACTAATAATGCTCTTGAATGTTATTTGAAAGTCTTTTAATCTCATTAACAAAGCTTAAAACAATTGTTCGCACAGCTTTGGGGCACAGCCTCTGTACAGCCTCAAAGATAAAACCGCATTTCTTTGATTGTATCTTCCTTGGAGCAAAAGATAATCCCACATTGTCCCAGCTCTCGATAATGATGCCCCGGTAGGTTCTCGCGTGCTTATGAACATACATGGACGCACGCGCTCTGAAGGTCGTTGCCTACAGGAAACCGCACTTTAACCGCGAGCGCCGTGCAAAGACGGTCGCGCTCGAAAAATCGGTCGGAGCGCTGCCACGTCCGTTTTAAACAAACACTCGCGACGCAGGGGAGAGCTATGACCGAGCGAGAGTCCCTGGGGCAGCTCGACTGAGAAGGTGACATTGGGTTGTCAGAGAGAGAGAGAGGAGAGAGAGTGGACACAGCCGGCTCGGGGTTCCCAGATGTTTGAAGACACGTGTCCTCCCTCCCCCACCACAAGCCGCGGTAGCCGCCACGCGTGATCATCAGCTGGAGTCACTGGTAGCTGGGATTGCCACCACCTGAGCGAGATAGATTCGTCGCCAGTCGCTTCAACTAAATTTCGTCGCTCGGGAAACCCGAAAAGTTGCCAGATCGCGTGACGACAAGATCCCAGAGAGTTGGCAGCACTGGTCGGTTACAATAGGCAGCTGAGAGGAACTCGGCGTCAGTAGCGCAACCCCGGGCCGTGTAGCCCCAGTAACCCCACCAATGACCCCGCCAATGACCCCACCAATGACCCCTCCAATGACCCCACCAATGACCCCGCCAGTGCCGTGTAGCCCCAATGACCTCAACAATTCTACCATCTACCACTGACGAACCTTACACAGTTTACACGTCATATTAACACGTATATATGTCTGCGGCAAAGTACTTCATTTTGTATACATATATTTTTTAAACTATTTTGTAAAAGAAACACAATTAAATACTGCGCTTAATTGTTTGTTTGCCGAATGTGATGAACAAGATTTTTCAAGTGACCCTAAAAATTGTTTGCGTAGGTTCGCCGAAGGTGAAGTCGACGCATCAGCAGAAAAGGACGACGGAGAAATCGGAGAAGTCGCACAAGGAGCACAAGCAACACAAGGAAGAGAAAGGACAGAAAGCGAATAAGGATGACAGGGCGCATGATAAAGACGGCAAGGAGGAGAAAACGCATAAAGGACACAAGGATGACAAAGCGCACGGAAATCACAAGGAGCACAAAGTACACCAGGGGCACAGGGAAGAGAAAGCGCAACAGGGACACGTACAGCAGGCGGCAGACAAGAAACACAAGGATGAGAAGGAGCACGGGAAAGCTCACGACGAGGACAAAGTCCACAAGGAGTCCAAGGGACGCAAGGAGCAGAAAGAACAGAAAGCCGAGAAGTCCGAACGCCCTGTAAAGGTCGTCGGAGCAGAAAAGACGGGGCAAGTGGTGAAGGGACACGAGGGTACGAAGGGGCAGAAGGAGGCCAAGGAGGCCAAGGCACATCAAGAATTGACGGAACCCAAGGAGGCCAAGGAGCTAAAGCAAAATAAGGAGGCCAAGGAGGTCAAGGAGGCCAAGGCAGCCAAGGAGGCCAAGGAGGCCAAGGAGGTCAAGGAGGCCAAGGAGGCCAAGGAGGTCAAAGAGGCCAAAGAGGTCAAGGAGGCCAAGGCGACCAAGGAGGCCAAGGAGGCCAAAGAGGTCAAAGAGGCCAAGGAGGCCAAGGCGACCAAGGAGGCCAAGGAGGCCAAAGAGGCCAAAGAGGTCAAGGAGGCCAAGGCGACCAAGGAGGCCAAGGAGGCCAAAGAGGCCAAGAGGTCAAAGAGGTCAAGGAGGCCAAGGCGACCAAGGAGGCCAAGGAGGCCAAAGAGGCCAAAGAGGTCAAGGAGGCCAAGGCGACCAAGGAGGCCAAGGCGACCAAGGAGGTCAAGGAGGCCAAGGAGGCCAAGGAGGCCAAGGAGGCCAAAGAGGCCAAAGAGGCCAAAGAGGCCAAAGAGGCCAAAGAGGCCAAAGAGGCCAAAGAGGCCAAAGAGGCCAAAGAGGCTAAAGAGGCCAAAGAGGCCAAAGAGGCCAAAGAGGCCAAAGAGGCCAAAGAGGCCAAAGAGGCCAAAGAGGCCAAAGAGGCTAAAGAGGCCAAAGAGGCCAAAGAGGCCAAAGAGGCCAAAGAGGCCAAAGAGGCTAAAGAGGCCAAAGAGGCCAAGGCGGCCAAGGAGGCCAAGGAGCATAATGAACATCGGGAGCACAATGCTGAGAAAGTGAGAGCAGAAAAGGGCGACAGAAACGACAGAACGGCAAAGGAGCAGAGGGCAGAGAAAGTGGAGACGCTCGAGAAGAAAGCGGAGGGGTTGGTAAAGTTGGAAAAGTCAAAGCAGGAACACCATGAGGAACACAAAGAAGAACACAGCGAGAAACACAACGAGAAACACAGTGAGAGACACAGTGAGAGACACAGTGAGAGACACAGTGAGAGACACAGTGAGAAACTGAAAGAGAAAGACAGCGAGAAACACAGTGAGAGACACAGTGAGAAACACAACGAGAAACACAAGGAGGAAGACAACGAGAAGCACACAGAGCCGAAGGAGCCCAAGGCGGTGAAAGTGGCGGTGAAGCCGCTGAGCGGGGCTGCCGAGGGGGAGAAGAAGAGCGAGCGGGCGGCCGAGAAGACGGAGAAAAAAGGTAGACTAGCAAATAAGGATGTCGTCGATACCCCAGCCGGTATCATGATCTCTCTAGCGTAACATATTTAGAGTTATCAAAATAATAATAATAATACTGCAATATGTATGGCTGGGGTATTTGGTAATGCACTGGTTTACATGATGAACTTTGCGACCTGGATGCAATACCCGGGCACGGCTAACATGAGTGGTGCGTCGTGCTCGTGACATCTAAATCGGTCCTGTCCCACCGCCCTTCACCGACCTGCACTGAGCAGCCCCCTTCACATGACTACTGACAACAACGTGGGGAGGGGCTTTCATCCAGCAGTGGATTGACAAAATGACTGGTCGTGAGGTGCCTACGGGGCTATGATGGAACACATATTTTCTGTAACTCAGGCCCTGGACAGCTCTGCCTGCACTTGTGTAAGAGATTTTCCTTCCCACACTTAGATCAATTAGATTTATTGGCCGATGACGGTTGTGGTAAAAAAGAATTCGCAAAGGGCGGCCGCTGCTCGTTACTGGTGAACTCGGCCCCGGTCATTAAAGGGCGAGCGATTGCGCTGTGGGTTTCCTGCCGCTGTAGGTTTCCTGCTGCTGTAGGATTTCCTGCCGCTGTGGGTTTCCTGCCGCTGTAGGATTTTTTGCCGCTGTGGGTTTCCTGCCGCTGTAGGATTTTCTGCCGCTGTAGGTTTCTTGCCGCTGTAGGATTTCCTGCCGCTGTAGGTTTCCTGCCGCTGTAGGATCGGTCGCTTTCTGCTGCTTCGACGCGACCGCTCTACGCTCCGCAGTCGTAGAAGCAGAACGTGGCCGCGATCGCTGCATTTGTTCACTTCTGGCCAATTAAAGAGGCTCACGAACCTGGGCCGCCCCCTTGCCCGGCACGAGCCTTGCTGGGCCTTGGCTAGTAAGTTGATGTCTTGCACTTAAATGAGATTCCCTCCCCAGAGGCGGATTTTAGACACTCACAAAGGGGGAGGGCGCTGCCAAAATGTTCAACCTTTTGAACAAAAACATTGCCCCTACATGAGTCAAAGAAAATAATAAAAGTTTTATATAAGGGGGGGGGGGTGGGGGAGGGTGATCTGACGCACTGCCCCAGCCCAACAACCCCCTAAAATCCAACTCCCTCGTGTCCCCTTCACCCTCCCACCACCCCCACTCAGACCTCCGTGCCCTCCCCCCACGCCACCCCATTGTATCTACCCACCGGCCACCACTGCACTCGCGTTGTGTGACTCGCACCGTGGGCCCTGGGTTCGCGGGTTCAGCCAGGGTCACGCGTGCCCCCATGCCGCCCCTACCCCCGTCACCACGTCCCCTGCCACTGCCGTGCTGATCTGCTGTCGTTCTCTTTCCCCGTAGATCAGTACGAGTTCTGTCGCTATGTGCTTGACGCGTTTGCGCACCAGCACATGTCTCCAGGTATAGGCTGGGATTTCGTGGTTTTGGCTGCATGCCTAATCCTTGCCGTGCGTTTTCTCAAAAAAGGGAAATGCTAACTGTCTGCCAGGCATGCTCAGTGGTGTCGCAGGGGATGGTGGTGGTGGTGGCCTTGAGGACGATGCTACTGTAATGCAGCGCTTTTGACGGTGTTGAGAGAGAGGACTCTGCTAACGATGCCGCTAGACACATCGATACGGACCAACGATTGCGCTCTCTTTCTTCACGGGGTTAGCGGCGACGATGCTGGCGACGCGGATGGCCCTGGTGAGTTCTCCCCGAGTGACAATGAGTCCCGTCTTTCTTGCAGCTCACAACCCCAGCTCTCCTGCCAAGGCTACACCGCCACCGGCCAAGCACGTAGCTCAAGGTATCGATGCCGCGCACGGGTCCACTCCAACGCCACACGCTCGCGGGTTCTGGAAACTAATTATAACCAAAAGTGAGAGCTCGCCCTGAAACAACGAGCACCTGTGGCCAGGTGCATAAAACACCTGAAGCTGTTTGTTTCTTCCTCGAACTTCATTTCTTTCATTGCCGAGGTAGTGGCGCAGCCCTGCAATGCCTTGCTCACGCGCCTCTGCTGGCGGAAGGGGCTCCGCTCGAGGGCCCTCCAGAGAGCCCCGCGAGAGGGCACTTGGCATCATCTCACACGCTGGAAACAAATCTCGGAAGAGTTGGGAGTAACCGCACTTTACTCCACCTGAGGCGGCCTGCCGATCGGCTCGATGTGGAGTATCCATATTCTTAGGTTTTTTCGGTAAAGTCACGTAGGTAAAAAATTAAAATTAATAAAAGTAAAATAAAAATCAAATAAAAATCACGGCGTTTCGGAGGCAACACAAGCTTCCGTCTTCAGGTGGAACTGTCACAGCACGATAGCTGTATCAAGTGAGAGAAATTCCAAGAACACAGTATTTTTATATATACTGGTTGAGGTTGGGAGAAGCCAAGGTATATCCACTTAAGTGGAGTATCCACTTATACTGCTGGGTGGACAGAGGCTGTGGGGCTTTAAGACATGTATCCCGATCATCTGCCATGCCAGAAAAGGTGTTTGAACCTGTGACCTCTGGATTGCAAGTCCAGTGCACTCATCACTACGCCACGCCAGCATCCCTCCTTAAATGACAACGTCCAGGAAATATCTGCTTCAGGTGTAGAAGACTGGGCGGGCGGCTCGCAGGTCGGAGCGCTGAGCCGGCACGGCTGAGACCCTGGGTTGGAATCCGGGCAGGCGTTTGCGATGAGGCCGGGTTCTCAAGTGCAGCGAGATGGTGGACTCAGGCCAGTCACCAGTGGCCGCACACAAAACGCCACCACGTAAAATTTGTTACTGCATGTAATTTTGGCGAAACTCCAGCTCTTGAGAACTAAAAATATCGGGTTGACTCACGTGAGAGAGCGTGGGAAGGTGTGATGTTCCACTCAGAAGTGGTTATGTCATATCAACTTCCCCGGGCCATTCTCTAACATGTATGGTGATGGTCACACCACCCCCCTGTTCTAACCCTAATCGGTGTGTAAGGCTTCACCGGAGCCATTAGCGTGCGCGTGTGCGCCGTTGCACGCGCGTAGCCGAGCCCCGCGTGTACGCTCTGTGCGCGCTTTAATTTCTTGCATTTTTCGTGCCTGAGAGCAAATCTCCAGCCTTTGGGCGATTTTGTCCAAACGTAAATGGTCCCCTCCGTCACATTGCGTGGGAGATGTCTCACGCACGAACCCCGGCATCGTGAAACCCACAGCGCCGTCGCAGGCACCGAGCCTCTCGACTCGGAAGCCGCTCATCAAACGACGCCGCTGGCTACGGATTTTCTTTTTTTTTTATACGAACCGCGCTGACAGTGGCCACAAAGCAATTGCGCAAGTCTCGTCGAATGCTCGTCAAACGATAATATTTTCTGCTGCGTTCTTATATCACATCTCTCCCACGTTGTCTGGTGGTCCGGGGTTCAGAGAGAAGGCTGCAGCGTGATCCGGCAGATATTTAAATGTTTTCACTTAGATTTTTTACTTGACAGTATTGGGGACATAAATACAGATTTTCTGAAATAAGAAACATAATTCTTCGTTCACGGCTCGACAAGCGGGGGGGGGGGGGGGGGGGACACACACACGCTCCCTGGAAGATTAACGCAAATCGAGGCGGCGTTATAACCTATTACCAGCGCGCCTTTCTCCTAGGACAGTCTGGAAAATGTTAGCGGCGGTCTAAATATAGGTGCCCGCTGGTGTGCCCCATCGCTTGCGCTCACATGAGAAAAAAAGGTGCCAACTTCAGGCGAGAGACGCTCCTCCCGCACTACGGGGGCCGTCCGAGGGCGCTATCTGCACCGCTCGGCGAGTGCCGATAGCAACCTCACGCGCCCACACAGACAAAGATCCCTTGTGTAGCCCACAGAGGCCGTTGGGGCAAGTGCTGTCAGCGAGTAGCTATGAAGGCCGGCGTGGCGCACGAGGGGGTGGTACGGCTAGCACCTTGCCTAGCCGCCTTTGTCTCCCCCGTAACGATGTTTCGCACCGGGTGGTCAAGGCCGAGTCGACCTAGGGGAGTCCCAGGAACGGTACGCTATTCATCACGTACGTTAGCCGTGGCCGGGAAGCGAAAGTCCGTAGGGCAGTGCGCTAATCACTGCGCCGCCGCTCCATCACAGCGGCACTCAAGAAGGTGCTTGGAGAGAAGCGATAGTGGCCTCGCGCTCGCGCACTCGCCAGCACCCTCGCCGCTGGCATCGTGAGCAGACACGGCGCACGATGTGACCTTTATCGGACGGAGCTGGTGGCCGCGTGATTGACTCTGCGGGGAAACCTTTGACGCTTCACTGCCATTTCCAAAATCGGTCTCCGTGCCCCCCCCCCCCGCCCCTGGCCGCGTGCGGATTTGGAGTGAAAAAAGGCGACGATGGGCAGCGCCGAGAGAGACCAGCCGCTCCATCTGTAGCCCCCCACCCCGAACCCCCCACCCCGACTGCGGGTTATGTGTGGCGTGATCACGAACGTGGAGATTATGCCGTGACCTCTGGGCAACGTCGGGATCGCGCTCGCTCCCAGCTGCCATCCGAGAGGGATTTTGCTCGCTATTATTATTTATTTATGTTTTCAACAGAGAGAAAACAAAAGAAAAAAACACAGAAACCAGGATACAAAGGGATCGCTGCGCTCGGTCGAGATGAAACGATCTTCAGAAGGAGCCGAGTGCGGTCTACGGCAGCAATGAGAAGAAGGGGAGAGGGAGAGAGAGAGAAACGTCAACGGAAAGAGACAAACTGCGAGGAGCAAATCGCTGTTTGCTTTTAAAAGTCTCTTCATTACGCAGCTGCTAAGAGAGTGCTTTAGCTTAGGCCGTAATCGGCGAGTTGAATATACGCGCGCCCACACTTGGATTTCTTACATCAGCTTCTGCGGCGGGGACACAGTTAAGACTCTGACATGTACACGCGCATGCTCGTGTGCCCCATTAATAACCTGCCTTCCAAAATACAGCTGCGGCCACCTCTGCTGCAAGGCTTTTGGGGTGGGAGGTTGTGGGGGGTATTTAAAAAAAAATCCCCGTGGAAACTAAACGGTCCTGCAGAATACTGGCGGCGATCCACCTCGCCCCCCCCCCCCCTCACGCACTCGCTTTATTTTGGATACGGAGTGGGAGACGGACGACGTGACCAGTATGAGATTTGAATGAAGTCCTTGGAGCGAGGACATCTCCTGCCGGAGCCCGAGAGAGCCGAGACGGTGACGTCGAGCCGACGGTCTCTTGTCCCACGAGCATGAACATCTTAACACCTCCAGTATTATTGGTGGAAAAGGGTGGCGAAGGTCCAAGACCGCCGTGGCGAAGACCCACGAACGCGTCTGCGGGCCTACGCAATGCGACCGGTTTTCTCCCGGGACACCGGGGCCGCGTGGGGGCGGGGGGTTGTCGGCTTTGCAGCGGAGGACATTGATTGTCTTGCCGACTCGGATCTCCGTCCGAAGCCGACGGCACGCGGCTGTGCAGTTCGGTGCCGCTCACGCAGTCGCCGAGGACTCGCGTGCAGGTGGCGACACGGAGGCGAGGCGAGGGTGTGCGGCAGCGTGACACGCGCTCCTCCGATTGGCACGGTTGGCTAGGTACGGTGCGAAAGAAGATCAACGTACGTCAGGATCTTTATTCATTCTGGAGGAATCCGATGAGCTATGAAGCTATTTTTTTCACAGATGTCCAGTAAATTACACACCCAACGGGGATGTTTGCACTTGTTATGCAGTGTAATAGTACACGTGTGTGTGTATTGTATAGTACTCTCATCAGCAGCTGTGATCTATCCCTGCTGGATGAATTCTATCTCTCACGGCGCTGCGATACAACGACCCATCCAGCTCCTGCGCTCCAGCCGATTTCATCACTCCGTCTCTGCCCTCCCTTCCACACCCACTCTCCGCTTCTATCCCAGTGTAGTGTTTTTGTTTGGTTAAGAGTCCTGGTGTGATGTGGTTGCACTTAGACGCCATTGTGCGAATGGAAACGCTCGTTGTTGTAAATCGCCCAACGTCTCTTCCGCTAGGCTCTAAGAAGACTGCCGCTCCAAAGGAAGATGGTGCAAAGAGTGAGTCCCTGCACGCAACTCCTCGCTGCAGCTTGTACAGATGGTGCCCACAGTGCCCCATAGCAAGTAGCATGAGTCGAGAATATTATCAACAATCACTATGAATGTCATTGCAACGGGGGGAGCGGTGGTGCAACGGTTAGCTTAATGCGCTTCGGTACGCAGCAGTGTGAGTTCGACTCCCGACCACGATTCACATCAGCGGCGATGTCTGAACTACCAGCGCATTGTCGTTGCAGAGCCTGTGACTGCCGCAGCTGAGAGTCCTGCCAAGGCTGTTCCAGGTGAGCTTCTGCCTCCGGAACATTCCCACGGCCGTGTTTATCTCCTTCTCTCTTCCTAGCACGGCACGCTTGCAGCGCAATAACGGGCAGATTAGACCGTGCAATCATTTGATTCTTGAATATTTAAGCGGCAATCTAATAAAATCAAAGTTAAAGATAGACCGTAGAATGCCTTGTGGGGTTATTCTCTGGTCTGACACTGGTGGTGAGACAATACCATGAAGGAGGCTTTCTCTGTTGTAGGTCAATCCATTTCAAAGACAATGCATACATTATCAAAGCACATTTAGCATGTTTTATCATAAGTATTTGTGGTTAATGCAAACTTGATGGCTTGTAATAATCGGTGTGTCTATGTGGTATATGAACATCTTAACACCTCCAATATTATTGGCGGAAAAGGGTAAAGCCGATTATTTTTCATCTTGATACTGGCATCAAAGGGTCACATTGATAATTATTGAGAGGCGGTGGAGATGGCTGTAAACTGTCATTTTACGGCTTGAAATCAACGGGCCATCGCAGGCCTCAGGGGCTTCTCGTAATTGGATAACGACTCGCGTACGCAAGTGGTTTGTCGCGAAGTCGTGAATTGTCGCCGTGTGATGATGATGTGATGATGTTGTGGTGATGGTGATAATGTTGTCAGTGTTGACAGCAGCTGCACCCAAATCCAAGGCGAAAAGTAGGTGGTGGCACTAGGCTTGATTTCCTAAAGCTCCATCGTTAAATGACCCCGCCCCTCATTAACCTCATAACGAGTTCCCTTAACCCGCTAACCTTTCAAAATGACCTTCCGGGACCGAAGCATTGTGAAGTGTACTCTCAAATATAGCAGCTTGTCGTGGTGTCCTAACTTGGCCTTTGCGTCCGTGTGTCACCATTTGCGTGTATATTTGTGTTTGTGTACGGATGTGGTGGTCCGAGTTTAATTCCCGCTCACGGCCTACATCGGTGTCAATTATCTGAACCGGTTCTGGGCCTCCTCTAGATCGACTCAGCCTCATATTAGTATCTGGCGCGTTGTGTAAAAGTTGCTGCGATGGAGACAACGGCGACCAGGCGTGGTGCTGGCCACCCACCCCCTCGCGTGCCGTACTGACCTTCATAGGTGCTGCTGATCACTAACAGCACTTGCCCCAACAGTCTGTTAAGGCTATACGGGGGGATCTTTGTCTGTGTATAGATATAGGTATCTGTATGATATAGCTGAAAGCTTGCTAGTGCGTATACAGCGACAAACAACACTTCCATTTAATTTACGTAGCATAAGCAAACAGACGTGCATTGGTGTTTTTCCATGAATTTGTGTTTATGTTTATTTCCAGTTTTATCGTACAAAATGCTACGAGCATTATGTCATGAGACAAGACATCCATTCAGGTCTCCCGCAGAGCAGTGAACGGCCCGCAGAAGCGGATATCCCAGAGCTACCACTGACATCCCTTCATATGACCTCTGCTCCACACAATAGGGGGCAGCGTTTACACATCCACTTTGTCAGTCACACCAATATCTGTAGTTCTCAACGCTGGTGAGATTGCAGGACCAGATTTAACGTGATCATTTTTTTTATCGTGCCATCAATTGGTGAGCGGGTCGAGTCCACATCGACTTCCTCCGCTTGGGTCGATGAGCGGGAGCGCAGGTGGCTGCCCGGATCGAACCCAAGACCTCAGTGGTGCCGGCTCACTGCTCAAATCTGTCTTGGTCAAACATCCCAACGTAGCGGGGACCCTCTTTAAAACGCGTCTTGAGACTCGGGGAGTCTTTTGTGACTAACCAGCGGCACTACGGCTGCGAGATGTTAACTCCCTCGCCTGGTATACAGGAGGTTTGATCCCAACCCTGGCGCCCGCTGTATATTTGGAGTTTGCATGTCTCTTTTCCAGTGGTCGTGTGGATTTTTCTCCGGGTCCTCCGGTTTTTCCCTCCACATTTAGAATCAACATCACGCGTTTAGAGTAGTTGGGCGCTGTAAATTTCCACGTGATAAGCCACTTCGTTGAACTATCATTTGTGGCCAGGTCGCTTCGAAAAAGTAACTTTCTAGCTCAGTGGACCCTACCTGCGAAATGCCATTGCAGTGCAATGGCATTGGCACTGGAGGGAAAGGGGGGCTGGTGCGGTGTGCGTGGGGGTGGGCGTTGGTGCTGCAGGTGAAGTGAGCCCCCAATTCTAGAGGGTGACCATGAGATGCCCCCTGCCACGAGACCAAGGGATCTATGAGGTTGACATCGCCGCGGTGATTCTCATCGGTCTGTACGTTGTTTGCTTCCACAGAAGCCGATGCGGTGAAAGAGACAAAGCCGCTGCCCATAGAGGAGGGTAAGGGATGTGTTTGATGATAACAAAGCTCATGTTTATTTATGACACAGATAGATAGACAGATAGACAGAGAGATGGGCTAACGGGCAGATAACAGGCAGACGAGTGATCAAGCATGCTGGTACAGTTCTGATTTACGTAGCATCTAAAACAGGTCTGGGATCAATTACAGTTATGAGTTGCAATTCGTAATAAATTACAAATCACCATGTCATTGTAATTGTTATTTCAGTGAACATTGTTGTTGAATTTTGTAGTTACAGTTCTCTCGAGGTTTGGTCCAAATGCGACCGCATCTGAAGATTCCTCTAAAGAAACAGTGCACACGTTTATTATATATAGAGAGAGAGAGAGAGCGGGGGGCAGTTGTCACAGACAGAGGAGAAGAGTAAGATCTTGAGCCTGGACTTGAACTGGGACATGGAGTCGACAGCACGGATGGCTGTGGGATTGGAGTTACAGACAATCAGGGCGGCAGGGGAGAATGAGCGACCTCCCACTGGTCGAAGGTTGAACACGGAAAGACAAAACATCCCGACAGATGTGCAGACAAACACGTGGATAACAGAGAGAGAGAGAGAGAGGAAGAGACACAGAGAGGAAGGTGGGCGGAAATATATTTTATTTAAACCAGGCAAGAGCTCATAAACATGTGGATATGTGCGTGTTGTTGTTGAAAAGTGGCATGGAAAATTTGAAAATACAATTCGCGCACACAATTAGATTTTTATGATAAAAAATTGAATTGCTTGCAGTGGTGTTTGTTGAAATGAGGTCTATGCCGTTGTAAACCTATTTTACGAAGGCCTCCGAGAAGGCTGAACGGCGTATTTCTCGGTGATTTGTTTGGGTCTGATGACACGGCATTAACGTGAATTTATGTAAGCCGGTCGCGGTTATTTTTATTTTTTTCATCAGTGTTAGCTGCAGCTGACTTATCTCCAAACTTGGCCGTTATTAACCGGACCGAGTCGGCCTTCCTGTCGTTCAGTCGTGTGCCCGAGACATTAACGATTCATCAGTCGCGCATACACTTATTTGAAAAAAATGACAGAAAGCTAAAAATAAAACTTCTGGTGCTCTGTACTCTTAATTTTGGCGTAAACGAAATGAAAAGCCAAATAATAAAAACCTTACATAGCTCACGCAGGCAAGAGATGTGCATTGAGCACTTTCCCAGAGGTGACAGCTGGGCAAAGGAAGGTCTGAAAAGGAGGAAGTTGGAAAAGAGGCCAAGAGACTGAAAACAAACGATGATGGTTTCCCACGTGTTGGTGGCAAGTACCGTGATGGGCGTACAGCACAACCGTGAAGACCGATGCCACAAAAAAAATAGAGACGCTGCTTGATGACTTGCAGAGAGGGAGGGGGGGGGCATACGGTGACACGACAAAGGGGGTGGGGGGCCACGTGGTGACACAAAGAAGGCCAAGGTCAGGCAGGATGGAGGCAGTTGGAGCCCAAGGCCTTCCATTTCAGAGAGGTTTTATCGAAAATGGATAAAGAGGCCAAATGAGGTCAGAATCAGAATACTTTTAGGTTTTTCGGTAAAGTCACGTAGGTAAATAAAAAAAATAGAAATAATAATAGAAATAAAATAATAAATCACGACGTTTCGGAGGCAACACAAGTCTCCGTCATCAGGTGGGACCGTCACAGCTAGATTTACTGTCACGAAAGCTTCAAATCTAGAACAGAATCAGAATGTTTCATTTCTCGTGGAGAAATCCGACGAGCCATGAAGCTCCTTCTCACAGATGTCCGGCAGGGACACGGGGTCAGAGAGTTACAACCACAATCAGTGCAGAGACGCGACAGGAGTCACGTGGTTTCGTGACGTCGTCTTCTGGGGGGGGCAGTTGTACCCCCCCAGGGACGATCCCAACGTCCCCATGATCGGGCGATCGACTGTTGGCAGCAGAGCCCCGAGTGGAATTGTCTTTGTCTCACGACGCGGACTGCAGGTGCGAGTGTTGGGCAAGCTGTTGCGATTGAACTGCTGCTGCTGTAGCTGTCATCACGATCTAACCGTCCGTCGTTTGTGTTTGCAGACAGCCACTCGCACCCGGCGAGCCCGCACGCCAAGCCTGCCGGTAAGAACCCTGGCCGAACAACACACGCGGAGCACGCGCCGTACTACGTCGCATATCCACCTTGGCCAAATAGCCGCCCACACCCAGTGCATTACTTGCGAGCGGTGAAACCGGAAAAGTTTTCTAGTTGTTCACATATCTGACCTTTCGGTAAAGTCACGTAGGTATAAAATATTTTTTTTATTTTATACCTCCGTGACTTTACCGAAAGAACCAAAGAGTATGGATTCCTGCAGTCACGAAAGCATCAAATAAAGCTATCTGACCTGTTCATCATATCCACCTATACCTCAGTTCCCAGTCTAAACTAAACTCTTTATTATACCAGGTAAGGCCCACTGAGCTACGCAGCTCTTTCCAGAAGCGACCTGGCCACAAATGATCACTCAGCTAAAGTGGCTTACCATGTGTACATTTATATCTGCCAAATACTCTAAACGCATGTTTCTAAATATGGAGGGGAAAACCGGAGGACCCGGAGAAAAATCGGGGAGAGAGAAAGACAACTCCAAATATACAGCAGCAGGCGTCAGGGTCAGGATCGAACCAACGACCTCCTGCACACCAGGCGAAGGAGATAACATCTCGCCACAGTGGACATTAGTCTGTCAGATATGCGACGTTGTCCTCTCTGTGCAAGTGCACTGCAATCCAGCGGGCTGCGTCTTTGCCTGTCTTAGCGAGTGATTGCCCGTGCCCTGCTTTTTTTGTGTCAGCAGCACCGAAGAAGCCTCCGACTCCGACTCCGACTCCTCCCGAAGAACCCGCGAAAAGTAAATCCGTCGCCTTCCCCGCACTTCCCCCTCACCCAAGTCTAGGGGTTGAAGGGAAGACGCAGCCTAACAACACACAAACTGATCCCACCACGGTTGCCCTGGGCCCTGGTTTAAGGAATTAAAAGTGGCCTCCTGTGTCCAATTTCCCATCCCTCTTCACGGCCTGGCCCCTAGGTGTCCAGTGGCAGCGCTAGGCACAAGCGATCCAAGTACAAGCTTAGAGTCCTGTTGTATATGTTGGGTATGAAAATTTGTTATGTTGTATGCGTGCGTGGGTGAAATTATTATGTTGTATATGTGGGTTATGAATATTCAGTGGAAATAATAATAATTAAATGAAATTTGGCCAAATGTGTAATTATCCGGAAATATGTTAATTTATGTAATTACGCACATTTTAATTATGCCAATTCGAGAGGTAATCGTATTAATTATGCGAGTGGGTGTAATTATGATAACGCAAGTCGTTATGATAACCAGACCCCGGTTCACCCCGTTATCGCTTTAACATTTACTGAGTATGTATTAGTGTGTTTATTAAGGTCACCAAGTTCAAATCTCAACGCAGAAGCAGATCTTATGCATAGATTTCAGGAAAGAATCACACAACCACTTCTGTATTGATCAATTTATTACTAATTCAACCTTAACTATGATATAGAATGCGAACTCTCAATCCCGGAACGTCAATACGGCATCAATACAGTATCATCAACGATTGTCTGATTTCACTTTGACAACTGCACATGGATCCCGCATAACGCGATGGTTGTTAGTGAGAGAGAGAGTCGTTAAAACATGCAAATACTATGCTAAGAAAACCTTAACGTTAATGAATGATTATACTCAATATTGTTCACGCAGTACCGCACTCCTTATTGATCATACGCAACCCTTATCACGTTGTTAACACCTTGGGTCACGGGACAGTTGAATATTCTGTAGAGGATGCGAGTACGTGCGGCGATTATGACTGAAGGATACTTGAAAGATTATACGGCGATAAAAAAAAACACAATCAAAACAGTTACTATTCTTAAAGGCACCAATCTCAACAGATACATCGGCAGGTTATCTGACAGCAGAACGGCTCGGAGTAAGGGCCTGCGACGGTGCTCCTTTTCCGAAGATCGTTATCTTATACCAAGTTTACTAATTGGGGACCAGATCACCTGATAAGGATCCGGTGGGCCACCACTCCCCACGTGAGCGTGGCTCGGCGGAAGGAGGTGCCAAGAATCAGTTCGTATTGATGGATCTGTTGGGAATTTATGCGATTAAGAGTACAGCCCACTAAATATTAAAGATAAAAATTAAGAATACTCTTATACGACGGAGGCCACCACTCGGTCTCGTTGTGATGCCTTCCCAGCCACGGATGACTTATGGGTTCGAGTGTGTTTGAGTGGTAAGAGTTGTCTTGAATAGTCAGTGTTCGGAGTCGATTCTTTATGTCAAACAGACGCCTGGTGGTCGTGTGGTGAGGGGGCGGTGCGCGTCATACGTATCAGGCGCTCCCCTGTCACCGTGGTGAATTGGCTCGGATGGCTGTTGATACGCTGTCGCAGTTCGGAACCCGGTCGGTAGGTGGCGCCCACAACTCGCTCGTAGCGTGCAGCGCTGGATCGTCGCCAAGTCGCGACGCTCACCACCGGCGGCAGCGGAGATCTCCGGCGGCAGCAGAGATTGACGAGCTGAAGATGAGTCGAGCCGACCCGCTGGTCGCAGCTCGCTCCTGAGTCGACCCTCCCGGTCGAGCTCGCTCCTGGGTCGACCCGCTGGTCGCCCTCGCTCCTGAGTCGACTCTCTGGTCGCACTCCTGAGTGGACCCGCTCTGGTCGCACTCGTTCCTGAGTCGACCCTCCCGGTCGAGCTTCTGAGTGGACCCTCCCGTCGCACTGGTTTCCAATGTTCAGGATCCGTTCCTTTATGCTGAAAAATCCCCCTGGATCCCGCCCACAAGGCGGGGCTTCCGATTTTTGCTGTGTCAGGATCTGTCCGTAGGCAGGTGTGTCCATGTGTGTGTCCGTATGTCCTTGTGTGCATCACTGACGGTATATTCCGTTGTCAACTCCCTCCATAAAACCCACGAGCAAACAACCAGATGTTACAAATTGTCTCGAAGTCGTCTCTCTGTCTGGGTGCAATTTATCTCTTGTCTGGCCTTCTTCATGAACCCAAAACACAGACGTTACAAATCGTCTCATAGGCGTCTTTGTTCGTGTTGCACAACCTGGAGGGAGGGGCAACACTCTCTCCGACCCGGCGCACAAAGAAATGGTTAAAAGTTTTAAGTTAACATTTGTCCCTTACTATTTCACAGTTATGATTCTGTATGTAACCTAAGGTCTGTCGTTTCCCATCGTGGTTCCCGACCCACGTGTAGGTGTTTCCCCGAGCGTACACACACTCCTATCCCGCGCTGCGGGGATACAAAGACGGCCGGGATCTCCCTTTCTCTCCGACCCTGGGTTTAACATTGTTTTTTTTTTTATTATGTATTTATATTCGACCTGGTGGTGATTCATCCCGTTATCCTGGCTTTTCCATAAGTTTTACTTTTGTCTTTTCATGCATATACTTATTACTATTAATTTATTTCCGATATCTTAGGTTAAGGGGTAAGTTTCTTGATCCTAGGAATTCGTATTCCTTGGTGCCTGGATGGTTATATAAGCGGAATATAGTTTACGGTGAATAGCGTTAACATTGATGTTATGTGCGATATTATGTATTGTGATGTCTTTAACTTAACTTGTTTGTCAGGGCTTTACTGACACGAAGTTGCATTCCATAGCCCGCAGTCTTTGCCCCACCCTATCTCTGCTCGCCGTTGTTGTTGCCTGCCGTTAATTCAAGGCCTCATTAATTTCCGTCACCCCTGAGTAGGTGAGGGCGGTTGAACCTTGGAGTCAGTTCTGGTTTTTGTCTGCCTGCTTCTTCTTGTGTCCCCTGACCCCGGGAGTTATTATTCTACTTTATGGCCTGTCGAAGCCCCACTCGCTGTTGCTGGGCTGGTGTTGTTCCCGGCTTTTTGCTTACGTTTGCAGTTCGCCGTGCTCTTGATTTCCTTCCCTCTTCAACCTTATTTTGACTATTCGCTCCTGTCTGGGTGCGATTCAATTTTGACTTAGGAAGGTTCTGATTGTCATATGCTTCGGGTCGAATTGTATAGAAAGTATTGAAGTATGGAAATAACATTTCATATTGACTTAATAATGGTGATGGTTCAGTAGGCGTAACTTGTGGCCTGGTTTAATTGGAGTGGGTGTGAATATCGATAACTTTAGCCTACCCTGTTGTTAAATTCCGACTTTAACGTTACTTTAATAGCAATACAGAATAATTGAGCTTTTTGTCTTAACTAGGCGAATGCGAACTTCTGGTGACCCCGCAGCCTTGTTGTTCAGCTGGGTCTGCCTCCTTGAGAGATATACACCACTCTTATTCTCGTCTCACTGTGGTCATCCAACCTTCTGCTCTGGGAGTGTTATTCTTACTTTCAGGTCAAAGGCCCCTTCACATCCAGACGCGCAGGGTTGTTTACATCAGCTCCCCCCCTGTGCACGTGTTCTAACTAGCTCGGAATTCCTGAACACACAATCAGTGATGATTCCTGGCTTTCTGTGGTTGTGATTTAGACAAAGGCGCCTCTGTTTCCTTCCATTGCCTTTGAGTCGACACTGCCCTATTATTTGCCCATGTGCTGAGGTCATAGAATTCGTTTTGACTTCAGTAATATTAACATTCAGTATTGGATTAGCAAATGGGCAATGGTTCATTTATGTAGCTCGCAGCCTGGTCTCCAATTTGAGCGAGCGCGAGGATCGATAATTTAGCCTACTCTGTTGTTGAATTTCGAATTTTGACGTTACTTTAAAACCATGCAGGATGGTTGGGCTTTTTGCCTTAACGATGTCTGGCTGACACTCCCACTGTCTCTGCCGCCTGCACGGGTGACATGTGCCCGTTCATCAGGCCTTATCTTCCCTTGAAGCAACGTTGTAAATTCTGCCATCCTAGCCCTCCTCCGGTTCATTACTTAACAACACCTGGTGTTTTGCAGTTTGCTGCGCTTGGTGTGTTTCACTCATTAAAAAAAACAAGTAAAAAGATAATATATAAAAATCATCAAATATTATTAATCTCAATTATGGAAGAAGGGTTAGTATACAACAGTCCCAAGTAGCTCAATGGGCCCCGGATTAATGAAAACATCAGTGTGCACTAAATATAGTTTCTAACTCAGATCGGTATTAATAAAAAAAAACCTCATGATTCTAAAAAAACACTTTTAAAATGGCATGACAGTGGAAGACAATTTAAAGTGTTCGAATCTCGCGTATCTACAAGCTGACATTTCTTTTTTTGCATTTGCCTTCCTATGATGCTGCCCTTGTTGATGTGTTTGTTATCGCTGAGCGATGAGCGACTGCACAGTAAGATGTTGACCTCGCTCGTGACCTTTGCTCTGCTAGAAACGGAGCCTGTCGTGACGAAGGATAAGGAGAAGTTGGCGCAGCCAGGTAACGATTGGGCATTGCCTCAAGGGATGTCCACGTGCAATCCGCTGCTGGATGAAGGCCTACCCACGCCGTGCCACCCGTGGAAGCTCTTTGACCATATTGCTGCTCAGCGTGACTTGATTTAGCCGGGAAGCATAGACATGACAACGTAGTACAGAATAACAATTTATTTTGCTGTACTGCCCCCGCTGCTGCCTACATCGTAACCCCTGGAGCAGCCTATAACGCCTGTTTAATGCATGGTTGTGAACCATCCAAAGCACTATCCAGGCTAAACCGTGCTTAGCTTCTATGATCTGTATGTGCCTGATCTCGTCACTTTGCAGAAGCTAAGCAGGAAAAACAGCCTGGATAGTGGTCGTATGGGCGACCACCATCGAGCACGAAGCTGAATGGCAAGGGCTGATGCGGAGAGTGCGGTCAGCATAGAGCAGTGCAGCAAAATCGATTATTGGACTGCACCATGCTCCAACAGCTGCCCTCTACCCATTACCAACTGACCAGGATGGTGAAATATGGTCCCCGCAGGCGTAGGGAAGCCCTTATCCAGCAGCGGCTCGCCAACGGGCTGTGTACGTGCCGCTACAATTACACGTGCACACCCACTCAACGCGCCCACGTCGCACCAACGCCGGCCCACCGTTGCACGCTAACTTGACGTTGCCGCTGCCAAGTCGCGTGTGAGCGCGCTGTGCGTCCCCTAGACAACGCTCCGCACGTTGTTCGAGATGCCGTACCACCCCCCCCCCCCCGGGCGTCAGATTTGGCCGTTGCTGCTGTCGTAAGCTGCGAGGAAAAATTGTGAAAATTAAATTTGTATCTAAACAAAAATCGTTTGTAATCGCCTTTATTTCACGACACGCCTGCACGTGTACGTTTTATTTCTGCTCCTCCCGGTGTAATTCACCGTAAAATGCTATAATTTTCCGCCCGCCTTAGAATTCACGTGATTGGCGACAGTTTATTTAATTCTTGATTTTCACGTCTCTATTATTCCAAGATTTGGCTCTGCGCATCGGCCGATGCCCAGTTTTCACGCATGATTATTCCGTCGGCCTCGGGCCTCATTCCTTGCTCACTGCATCCAAATGGACTCATTTTCAGAATGGTTAATTTCGTAACATAACGACGCACACAACAATGACAACAGCAACAAGACACTCAAGAACCCTTCCGAGCCATTTAAAGACGCGACCGCTATTCCTGGATACTAACGCCCCTTGCTCGCTCCGTTGCCTTAACTTAATTTTTCAGAAGAGGCATCTCTGGTAAGGTCTTCCAGCTCATTAGGCCCTGCTCCACCCGCCGCTCCCTGTCGCTCCGTGCAGTGTTGTCTGCGTGCGTTGTAACTCGGCAGGTTTATTCTCGGCTGTGCTGGGAGCCGTCTCGTACTCTTGCCCTCGGTGAGGATCGTTGTGCAGTAACCATTTTTTGTTGTTGCATTAATTGGTTGCAGCCAAGACGGCCAAAGCAAAGCTAATCCCAGGTGCGTACCTGCGTGTATTATTGCTCTACAAGCGCAACCCCTTTGTCAATTCTGGAGCGGACGGGCAAAGACACGGCCCCGATATGTCGTGCTGATGCCGCTGCTGGCAGAGGGCCCTCCGCTAAAGGGCTCATAGCGAGGGTATTTCTGGCCTCCTCTTCCACGTTAGCCAGACATCTTGGAAGAAGTGGGAGTACCAACATCTTGGAAGAAGTGGGAGTACCAACACTTTACCCCTCCAGATGTGACGACGTGCCGTTCGGCTCTGTTCACGTTACTGGGTGGACAGAGAGCGGGTGGGGGGGGGGTGCTTACGAAAACTTAGCGTTTAAACTTCCACGCCAGATGATCAAACCGGTGACGTCCGGATGTCAAGTCCCGTGCGCTGCTCACCATGACACTACCGTGGGGGCATTCTGTACGTTCATACCGTGGTGGCGGGTTTAACGACACTTGTGTATATTTATACGAGATCTAACCCAAAAAAAACCCTCTATTACGGATGACATTGGTCGCGAAAGCCTACGTGTTAAACATTCTGTACGTTTTCATGGGTATTATAAAAACACAATCCCCAGTGAAAATTGCGCATTTTGTGATTATTGTTCTTCTGCAAGGTGCCTTGAGCTGCTTTGTCACTTAGGCACCCTGTGATTGCAAATCCTTAAATTCTGACATCTCATCTCTGGGTGTTTCTGTGTTCGTTCGGCAGCTGCCGTCGAAGAGGATGATTCAGGTGAGCCTCTTTGTGTCTGTTAATTGAGGTGGCGCTGCTGTGCCTCCTTTCACCGCAGTACATCTGGTTTCATTGATTTTTTTATTAGAGTGTACTCGATAATAATTTGCCCGCTCTCTTCACTTCAAAGGTTCGGTGAAGAGGAAGGTGAAAAAGACAGAACTGAATGAGAGTGAGTCCCCCGCAGCCTCATATGTCTGACCACACTCTGAAACAAATTTCCACGACCACGACGCCCGCACACAACGCCCTACTTTTTTGCGGATTGCATCATGCGATCTTCAACGTCCGCCGTCCGGCAGACGGCACGTATTTGTGCGGTCAATACACCCGCAATAATAACCGGGGCGGACTGCTGGATTCGATCGGTGAAGCTCCGTGATGAGTGGCGAACGCGACACATCCGGGCCCTGTTTCCGCCAGGCCTCCTCGCGGTGTTCCTGTGCGGCTGACGGCAGTGCTGATGACGCTTGTCGTTGATTTGTATCCCTCGTTTCAGCTCTGGTGGCCGGACTTGAGAAGGACATTCCCCTCTCTCACCTCGGAGGTAAGGTGTCACATTATCACACTTTTTATTTTGTTTGCAAAAAATGTTTTTGCTTCTTTTCCCTTTTCAATGTTTTCATATCTCACTTCAGCGAAAGGGACGTCCTCTCATAGGACGAAGAATCCGGTTCGTGTTAGAGACAGGCCCATGGAAGCGGATGTCACAGAGCTACCGCTGACATCCCTTCAAGTGACCTCTGGTCCACGCATTAGGGGGCGGAACTTTCCCATCCTCCGTGCTCCAGACAGTATTCTTCGTTGCATGACCACAACACGTTTCTTTTTTTCGAGATAATATTTTGCCAAATTGGGTTCAGAATCAAATTCAACGTGATGGTTGTTGTTTTTGTGCTGTCACTGTTGACCGGGCTGACACCCAATCGGTTCATTACGCTTGAGAATCCGGTTAAGCCGCAGACGGCTGAAACCTGGATTCAAACCCAGGTTTCCAGTGGTGCCATCTCAGCACTCGGACCTCCGAGCCACCCAACACTATTAAACGTTCACGGGAGAGCTTCCGTCCATGTGCACATCGCGGTTATAATCCTGCGCCGCCGCGTGAGCAGGCGTCGGTCGGAATTGTCCTTCCTGCACGGTCGCCGCTTCCGCGTGGAGAATTGAGTTGTGTCGTGCGGTTGTTGCAGGTGGCGTGCCGAAAACAAGCACGAAAGGCAAAGGTAACAATGCTTCACCATGATTTATTTAGCGTGATGCTGTCTTACATTGCCTATGACTCAAAATCACTTGCGTCGTGTAAGATTTCAGAAGCTAAGCAGGGTCGAGCATCGATAGTGCTTGAACGGGTGAGCGCAAACAAGGCGTCTCAGTGTGGGCAGTGGAGGGGGGAGTGCATCCACTGCCCTTAGACCGTACTTCTACACTGCCCGCCTCAACCGACACTGCCGAAGCAGCGTGTTGAAGTGTCGTTAACATCACTCACCATGATATGGGGAGGCCCTCTTCCAGCAATGGTTTGGCAAGCGGCTGAACGTGGTGCACTGTTATCGATAGCGGTGCTAATCCTGTTGACCCCGAAGGGGGATGATTGGGTCGGCCCCCTCCAACTGAGCCCTCCCGCCCTCCCTCCCGCCGCAACGTCAATACAAACTCACGACCTGATTTTCCTCTTTATGTCGTTTCTTCTGCCTGTCCCCTCCCCGCCTTGTTACCCTCCTCCTTCGTCTGCTCTGTCTCTTCAACCCCCGTCGCCGCTGCTCCTGCCTTGCCCTTCTCTCCATCTCGTTTCCGACGTCGCTGCCACCGCCACCGCCACCACCGCCACCACCACTACCGCCACCGCCGCCAGCTCCCGTGCGCTACTTCCAGTGCGTGTTGGTGGAGTCGGGCAACGGCTATGGGCCGGTGGTGTACGACTCCCCGCTTAAGGCGCCCCCCGGCGCCCCCGCGCCCCACAAAGAGTCCTCGGAGAGGAAGAAAAAGACTCACACCATTTGAGCTTGTGCCTCGGGTCGAATGTTTTTTTTTTAATTGTCACGACGATACGAACGTAGGGGGGGGGGAGGGGGGAGTTGAAAATACGCAAAGTTAATTCATGGAGAGAGAGAAACAAACGGAGGAATAAAAATTGAGCGCACGCGTCGAGTGGCGCGTCGGGAGTGACGCGTTCCGATTGGCGCATCTCGTGCGGAATGGGTGTCGCGTGACCGCTGGATGCACCGCGCCAACTTTCCACGAGGAAGACGAATCATGCATATGCATGGATGCTGGAATGCTTTCCACCGACGTGCCTTTGTCCTAGGCAGTGTGTAATTTGCTATTGCAATGGAGCGGCGTGTCCCTAGGCCGCGGTGAGATAACGGAGCTCGGCTAGTGGCTTTGCCGGGGAGGGCACGGGCAACGCTGTGGCCAGTGTGGCCCTCTAGGATCAGACTCCCTCACAACAGAACAACGTCCATCGGAAGTTCAATTCGTCTTGGGTCGTCTTGATGAGAGTTATTGTCTCCCCCCCCCTCCGTCAATCCCTCCCCGGCATCATAGACAGAGATGATTGTTTTCAACCTTATCCAGCAACAGTGATAAGTAATCAAAAATCATAATAAAATCACGTGGTTGTGCAGGAGCTTAGAGGGCTGTCAATCGAGTCGTCCTCGTGTAGTCAGAATTTTTGCGAGTCGGTGTGTCACTCCACACCGGTGTGTCACCCACTCTGGTGTGTCACCCACTCCGGTATGTCAGCCCACTCCAGGAACCGATGGGGCCGCCCCAAATCGTCAGATTGACTTTTGGGGCAGACATTTCCAGGAGCCAGGCAGTGCAGGGTGAGATGGGATGGGTCGGCCAGGAGCATAAACCAAACGCTGCCGTGGGAATAGTCAGTTTGAGCCCCGTTACATCACGCGGAAGGAGTCTGCGTTCCTTTAGCTCTCGTGAGGATTGTCACAGGAGAAGAGGCGGATCGTGAAGGGTGAGACGAGAAGCTGCCAGGCTGACTTTGGCTGTCAGAGAGGTATTTTTTGAGCCAGTGACTTTAATTGTCGATCCGCTTTGTGTGCGCAATTGTTGACCGACACACGTGGCTTGTGATGCGCCTTATTTGCACATCTGATGGCATACCGCGTGTCGGATTTAAAAAGGCGCGCCGATTGAAGAGGGGTGACATGATCTGTCGAATGTATAACCCGATTTAGAATGTGTAGGGGTAGGCATGCTTAACTTATGAAGTGGGACATTTACAGAGTTATGCTTTTTGTTTTATTTTCTCGTCAATATATTCCTCCATCGAGAGTGTACAGCTGCGGTTTTTGAAGCCGGTTTTGTCGAGTCGCTCCAAACTTTTGTACATAAGCAGTGAACCTGAGCGGTCTCAGCCTCCTGCTCGCACCAGAGTGACTGCACGTGTGATGTATGATTTCCGATAGCGCGGGGTTACGTGCACTGTAAAATCAAAGCGTCGGCGTGTTGATTTGCAAGGTTGTGCTCCAAGAGAAAACCGGTGTGCCCGCACGGTCGTGGACGATCGATCACATGCCATGGGTCGTCAGGGCTGAGCGCGATGCGTTGCCACGAGGCCGAGATAACAGTGGGATCCCTCGCAGAGCGGTGCAGCACTTGGTGTTAGCAACGGCCCACGGAAGCGGATATCACAGAGCTCCTCCCCGAGATCCCTACGCAACAGGGGGCAGCACTTTCCATCCGGCTCCGCCACTGAGGGTAATTGTCCGATGGACCCGACCACCTATAAACCCACCAACGATCAAGAGTGACCCCCCCCCCCATTCTGTTCACCTGCAAGGCCCTTACATGGACCCACGCTGGACGCAGGCCAGTTGGCACAGCCTGCGATGCAAATCACACGGTCGCAACTTCGCGAGTGGCGAGCTTCCATTGACCGTGTATGAGGTCGTCGATATTCTATCTCCCGTTCCATTCCCTCCGCCTCCCGCTTGCTTGACCCATGATTGACCTCCTTCTCTCACGGGGAACGGGGAGGGGGGCTCTACTCCCCCTCCACTGCCCAATCCCCTAACCACCCCCCACGAGTCATTAGCCACTGTACAGCAGCAGCTGCATCCCAAAGGGGCGACGCTGAAATGTGGGACGGCCGAATTGTGAGTGCGTGGCACCATCGTTTGTTAAGGTCATCGGTGGACTTCTGCATCCATCAAACCACGGAGGACAAAATTAGGCCCCCGAGGCCACGGTCAATTGTTTAACGGCGTGTGCCACGCGATTGAATAGCATCGAGTGCCCTGCTTGAGCCAGACAGGGCCGGTGCTAGGGGGAGGTGCATGGGTGGGCCTTGCACCATCAAAATGTCCGCTTTCGCCCACCCAAGTTCACCGAGCGGTGAATCACTGTCACGGTGCCCCCCCCCCCCACACACAACGGCCCTACTTGCCCCCCCGCCGCCTCCCCCTCCACTTCTGAGAGGCGCTGGAGCTGGGCCAGTTGCCAGGGAGATTGGTGCAGCGGTCGAGTGTTGTACAACCGCATCGGTGTTCATGGTCGTGCTGCCCAGCTCTCAGTGGTGTTTTTTTCTGGGTGGTTCTGCTATGCGCTGTCCGCCAGCGTGGTCTCCCCGTGTTTCGCTCCGCGTGCCGGAAGCTCAAGAAGCCTCTTTGGGAACCGTTCCTCCAATGCGCGCGGTGCGAAACGTCGGACATCACGCTGCCGGATGGCACGCGGTACGCAACCTCGGCAACACGCGGGGCAGCTCGGCATACGAGGGCGGGTGCAGCGTGTCCGCGGAATAACGCGCGTCGATAAAACCGTGGCCCGTGGTGTGATGGGGTGTGTCGGGCCGGGCCCGCGAACACTCAACGGGTGGAAAAATCGCAACTCCCGAAGCACAAAAAACCAATGGAACGGCGCGCAAAGCGACGGCGACTCACTGTCAGATGCTTCTGCACGCTGCGCACGTACCGGGGCAGCCCCAGTTTAGTTTGGTAAAGTAACCGCTGTCGCGTTGGATGGCGAATTCCAGAATTGGCTTGTGATTTTCAGTGGTTTCAGTGGTTTTTGTGTGCTTTAATCTCTCTTTTATATTGTTTTTATGTATTTATAATTTAAAAAAAGCAATATAAACAACATTGCAAGCTGAACATGGGATACATCGGAGGGTTTTATTCAGAAAATCGACACATCAGGATGCCCCAGCCGTGAAGGATCCCGGTATTTCGAGGACACGCCGAATTGCTTGCTGGCTGGGTCACGTTGAGGTCACCGCTGTGGGTAATTCGGCGCCTCCGACTCTCTGCACGCGCTTCGTGCAAGCTCCACTGAGCGTCGAGCACACGGCCCACGAGGGCGCGTTCTGGCCGTTTCAAAATTAGGTTCCTGCCGAATGATCGACTGTCCTGTTCTTGAGAACCCTATTTTTGTACGTCCACATCAGTTCGGGAATCTGATGGTGAAGCAGTGTGCTTTATTAGCGCGGCGATAGTTGACGTTAGAGTGCTTCACGCATCAGCAGCTTCGCTCGCGTGGGCGTACGCACGTACGCACCAATGGCGCGAACCTGGTAATATTTACAATATCCAAGTGTGGCACAATTTTACAACCTTTGCTGCGCAAGCACGTAACACCAATAAAGTTAGCTCCCGTTTGTCCGTCGGTGGACTATCTGGGTTGCGGATTAATCGTGCTCTGCGAAATATATATTTACTCACTCGTCGAGGCTCATGGATTCACGTGACGGCAATTACATCTATAAATCTATTCATTTATGCAGCAGTAAAATAGATGACGCTTTCTACGCTTTCATTCCCCCGCTGTATGTCGGTAAACAATAAATACATTTCTATAGCCTCACTGAGGTGTGAATTGCATTATCCGTGGTTTTGTTTTATCCGGGCCATTCCTCATTTCAATTGCGTCCGACAATCGAGAGTTGACCGATAAAGAAAACTCAATTCCTTTAGCGGTGCCAGTCAGTAAGCAGCGACATCCAACCGAGGAGATGGAGCGATGAGATGAGCTCATGTACAGGCTGCCGGTGGATTGTTGAATCGCAGGATCACGAGAGATGGTTGCGTCTTGGGCAGGCCTTCATCCAGCAGTGGCTTGATCATTCCTGACGATGATCAGTGCGTGACATTGGCACTGCGCCAGGCGGTGCTGATTCCATCCTGAGCGGTAGAATCTCCGCAGGTGCTGATGTAACACCACGACAGCAAGTCACCTGTACAAGCCACACAGCTCCTGCACGACATTTACA